CTCTAGTTTTGCTCTCTAATTTGAACCATCGCCAAAATAATATATAATTTACTCGGAAACTATACTTTTGAAACAGTGGCACACTTTATATGATAAAGGTGCGTCCAAAAATAAAAGTAAACATGAGATAAATGGCAAAAAACTTCAAACATAATACAGTGAAGAAACCAAAGTTTTAAAAATAAGTTGGATAAACGTCACTCAAGCAATTGACAAGGCCACCCCATCCAACACCCGCCCTCATCAAAGTATTATATGAAATGATGCCTCAATAAAAGCGAAATGACGGACAAAATGACCACGTCAATCCCCTGAGTGACCCTTCTTCCATTAAAAGTAAATATATATAATACGAAGTCAACAAAACTCAACAGTAAATCACAAAGGAAAATGAATTAAACTTGAAAACTAATAAAATTTGAGTGATCTTGATTGTTTGTTTTTGATTGAGACCATGCTTTTGTTTCATCAATACACTAGGACTATAATCGTAGATGATGTTAGTGAAAATGACTTGACTTTAACTTACATTATGAGTAATTTGAATATCGAGTTTTTTGAACTACTAGGCTACTAAAAACATGACGTAATGAACTTGAGATAAGTGTCGTCCTTGAAAGTGTACCTAAGGCATTGTAATAAGAGTTTTGCGTAGTTTAATGTTGGAAAGTTACCGTAATGATACAGTGATAATTAGATTTTTTGAAAATTATGGTGTTAGAACGGGTTTTAAATCATGATACGCGTTAATCAACCGAAACCCACTCAGTCTCAGGGTGGAAAGTGATATCTTAATCCGGGTTTAGCATTTTTATACTCACTTAACCTCGAATGGCGTTCGTTAGAAAATTACCTCAAAAATGTTGCAATAAGTACACGATGCACGCATTCCTCTCATAACAATCGTATGTTTCATTTTTATATCGTGGGCAGTGGCCTTGAGGGGCAGATACGGTGCGCAACTGATGTTGATGTTAACAATTAATGAATATTTTGTTCTATTTGACACATTTTACTTGAGAATGCGCAACTTCATCATTACAATTCTAGTCAGTAATTTAAAGGTTTAAGTGTGTAATTGTTAATAAGAATTGCACCATAACATATTAATTAGGATAACAATGTTAGTATTAATAATTATGACAATAATGAAGAGTAAATTTCATGAATGATTCTGTTTTAGACACTCACGGACCCGGGGGATTACATAATCTTAATGGACTTTACAATCTTCCTGCTTCAGATCGGCGGTGCTATCTAATAGGCCTACAAAATTACTCAAACTAAAGTCAACGCAGTTAAACATTTATTGAAGTTAATGCAGATGAGGTGGCCGGTATATAGGCTATGAATTAGATATTCAATTCATCGTATTCATAACTCAAAAAAAAAGAAAGAAAGGAGGATGACAAGCGTCAAACACTATACAACTGAGTATCAAAGCATACATAATGGCTGAAAGGATTACACAAGAACATCAAAATAATATATTATAAAACTCAGTGATCATTTTTCGAAAATGAACTAAATTTTTAAAAATAGTTTCCTTTTCATTTAAGTTGAGCATATTCAAAATTAATAAATTAAGCAAATTAATGATATACTATTCAAGTTTTTATTAACACTGTCTATTCTTATTACTATAAAACATTCCGTGCT